CATCAGGATAAGCTGTTGGGGACAGACTGGTTGCAGTGTTGCCTTTTTGGAACACAGTCCCTGCGCCTCTCCACTCCATCCTGCCCTGTTTGAAGACAAGCCTGTGACGAAGCTGCAGTGAGGATGGCTGAGTGTACAGCTGCCATTGCTGGGGCTGAGTCACAAGACCGAAACAGCTTCAACTCAGGCGTGGGCTATAGCTTAAAACAAACGCCTCTTACATGGCACTATGAGTCTGATTTCTTTGTTCCCTTCCTCTCGTTGGTAGTCATGGGCCTGGGAGCGCACTTGATGCTGGTTGTATGAGGCTTCTTAACCCTGAGTGTAGGAGGGTGGTGAGTTTACATTGTTGTAGGTGTCAATGCAAGGAATTCCCAATTTAGGTTGACTACTTTGTTCAGGTGATAATGAATGAGTGTTGTTTTTCTTCCTCTGGTTGTTCATTTTTCAGGCAGAAGTCTGTTGAACAATAGTTTGTAAGTTTCTATGACTTATCTGGAATAATTTTACCACCTTTTAAATTTAGTATAAAGAAGCAAACTATCTCATGTCAACTCTTTTTTGGGGTGGGAACTAAATCCAGAGCCTCACGAATTCTACAACTGAACTACAGCAACTGAACTACAGACCTAGCCCGGCATTTAAAAATATATATAAACATTTTAAGAGTGACTTAGCAAATTGCTTTCTTATCTAAAACCTCCTGTGATATTTATGAGCCCATTTTCTTAGAGTTGACACTATTGGCAACATGGGCTGAGCAGTCCTCAGGGAGCTGCTTGTGTGTTGTGAAGAGTGGAATGTAGAAGTGCCCCACAGCCCAACTTCTCTACAAGAGATGGACATCCAGTGAGTCAGCGATGGGCATGGAGGAAGGGACCCTGGAGAAAAAGTCTTGTCTGATCAGCTAATGAATCACTTGATCTCACACTTAAACAATTTCCCTCTGACAGGTGTTTGCACGCCATGGCTTCTCTAAGACAGTGTCTGCATAAGGGGAGTTAGCTATGAGGAGCTGGGTAAACAGATACATCTTTGTAAACATTGATCAACAAGATTCCATGTTAAAGACAGCGATAATCAAGCACTTCCCTTGTCAAAAACACTTAAAATAGGCAGGTTCTACCTGATTCTGGGAAATACAGGAGACAATGCCTATTGTTTAGCTTTTCTGTTTCTATGCCTAGTCTCTAGCCATGATTAGAAAAGCCCCCTCATCTATTAGTGAACCACTGAAATAGAGAAAACTCACTTATTAAAATGTTATACAACAATGGCAAATTTTAATCTTCTGCCCATCTCCTGAGACCGCTGCAGCACTCACTTTCATGAGTACCTGGTACTCTTTCATGAGTACCTGGTACTCATGCCCTCAGCTCCTCATGGCCCTGTCACAGCTCCCTGCACATACTGGATGACAGCATGGGACTGGTTACAGAAGGCGAAAGAGCGACTCAGTAACTGTAAAGTTAATGACTAAAGAGAAGTCAAGTTATTTTGTCAGTGATTAACAGTAACACTTCATCAATGGTGTAGCACTTCTGGAATGAATCCCAATCCCCTTCCTTGAGCCGTTATTAATCTGGCTTCATCACTTGGCCTTCTTGGGCCTTAGTCTCCTCATTTATTGAATGGAATAGAAGTGACAAGCAAACTGTGGTAAACCGTGGACAGGTCGGCTACGATTCCTGCCCCAGGTCTCTACATGCTGTGGAATTCTCCTGCCTGGCCACTAACGGTGCCTCTATTTGTGTTCAAGGTCTTCCCTTGATATTCTTTTAACAAGTCTAGGCAATGTCATCTAGTCTTGGAGATTGAGTGACATTGTCAATAAGGCCTAAAAATGTGGTTTATCATTTATCTTATGTTGCTAAAAGACGCTCTGTGGTCAGGCTGTTACCCTGTGAGTGTCCTTGACCCTTGACTCTTTAGCTGTGGTGCAGAGGCTGAGCCACACTAGGGAAACAGCCAGCATTTGAGGACCATACTGGGTACTACAAATACTAGATTTGGGCTAAGTAGCAAGTAGGGAATTCAGACAGAACAATCAAGATGCTCACTTCCCAGGAGAAATGTGGTTTGGTGACAAGGATGACCAGAGTTAGAGACTGGTGGTTTAAATGAGATGTCCCCAATAAGTCTTGGGCATATGAATACCTGATCCCCAGTTGTCTGTCTGTGGAGAAAAAGGAGGTGAGACCTTGATGGAAGAAGTCTGTCACAGGAGGAAGGAGTTGAGGTTTCAGAAGACTTTGTATGACAGGTTTTGAATTAGTGTTCTTGTCTCCCCTTTTGGTTTGAGATGTAGACTCTCAGCTGATCCTGTTGCTTACTAATTTAGCTCTGCCATCTGGATTCTAACCCTCTAGAACCATAAGCCCCAAATAAACTCATCTGTAAGTTGCCTTGGCCATGGCACTTTATCATAGTAAAAAAGTAACGATACAAGGACAGAGGGTCTCCAATACTCGAACAGAAAGAGGGAGAATAGGGGATGCTGTCCAGCTCTGAAGCCCATGGCCAAGTTTAGGTGCAAATAGTATAGTCTTGGTTTTCTAGGCCTGATGCTTTTCCTTGAGCTTCTTAGAGCCTTCTGAGAAATCCCTCATCCCCATCTAAGGGGAAATGCCTTAAAACCCATTCCCATGCCCAAAGCCATTTCCTCCAACATTCTCCACTCTCTTGGATAAGCTTTGCTGCTGGGACACTTCCCTGTGTGCTCTCCTTTGGCACTCTGCCACATCCGTCACCTCACTTAAATCTGCAACTCTCTCCTTAACTCTCCTGAGACTTGGCTAGCTTCTCTGGAGATGCTCCATTCCCTGTCAGAGTGATTTGTACGCGTCTGTCTTGTTATGCTTATTATCTGCAAGCCTCAAGAAGAGAGAGACTGTCCCCTTATTTGTGTACTACTTGAAGTTACACACTATCTTACAATGGTGGGGCAGTAAACAGTCACTGTGGTAAATTTCATGGTAATTACAATTTCCAGGAACACGTAATCCTAAGTTCCTTTACTTTCTAGTTGTTAAATACAGTCACAGCTACATGATACAATTACACAGTGCTTTCTCCATTAAGAGCTACTGGCTTCAGGTAGACTTTCCTGACTTCTTGGGTATCAAGCAATTTTCTAAGGCAACAATCATATATGTCTGCAGTAAGTATCACTACTGCATCTTCCTCTGCAAGCTCCTGTCACCACAGTGGGTAGCTTTACCATTGCTCTGTGGCTTCAGTCTGCAGTGTAGTCCCCTATATTTCCTACTATATCAGGCCCCTGTGCTCAGGGTGTGGCTCCTCCCATATAGCCCACCCTTAGGCCGCTGTCCCCTTTGCTCTGAGCCTCTGAGTCTTTTCCATCACAGTTATCACAAGATGCCTTGCATTTCAGTTAGGCTTCCTCCCAGGGACACAGTTCCATGTTTCACGTCCTTCCGCTTTCAGCCCTACTGGCTCTCTGGCCGCTGCAGAGATGGTGCTCGCCGTCCTGTGTTCCTACCCTCTATTCAAGCCTCTTCTGAGCACTCACGTTCAGAACTGCTGTCGATTCAGATCTCGGACTTCAAAAGTGACATTGCAATCTAGTTGACACCTAGGTCTTTAAATTGCTTTTGCATTTCTCCAGCTGTGCTCAAGACTGCTCAGCTTTTCTTATGCCAGCGCTACAAATAAACACACAGGCTTCCCCAAGCCAGGGGCCAGTCTGGGGTAGGAAGAATCTTCCTCTCTGGAAGGACACCAAGCCCCCAGGATTCTCAGAATTTTACGGATGGAACACTAACTCAGTTCCAGGGCTACAGTCACAATGCAAAGTGAGGCCAGTCTTGGAATAAGCAGAAGCACGTGAAGTAGTATTAGGGTACAAAACTGTGTGCCTGCTCTCACCAATTGTCCCCTCAGATATCTAGCAAATGGCAGGGACAGAAACACAACAGTGTAATATCAAATTATACTGATAATCACACTGAGCCACTCAACAGGAAAAAGGACACACATACTAGTTCTACTGGTGAAAACTCAGACTCCTAACCTTCGCCGGGGAGGTGGACGGGCTGCACACTGTAGGAACGGCTATGGTGAAACTGTGCTTTAGCTCAGCATTTTGTAATGGCTGCAAGCTGAAAATTTATTATCACATCAGAAACATTAGTGACTAATAACAGCATCACATCTAATCAGGAAGCAACAACTTGGGCCTAATTATGAACAAGGGACTCTGCAGCCAGTTGTGGGAGGTACTGTGGTGACTGGAAGCTCTGGCTTGGGGTGGCAGGCCTCCTTCCCTGGCTTCATCCCTAATGCAAAGGTACTGGAAGGGTATGGTTGCGAGACTGTGGATTCTGTGAGGCCTGACTTCCTAGGGGCACAGAAGGTCAGTGTACCTCTGTCTGCGCCACCTGAGCTGGCAGCCTGAGAAGAAGGCACATGTTGCTGGAGTCTGGTTGCAAAGTGTAGAAAGGAGGCTCTGGTGCCAGAGTTAGTATACTCTTGCAAATATAATAAATATCTCTTTCCTCAACCCAGGAAGCACACACACAGAGTAAAATGAATTATTGCTACTTTGGAATAAACAGTAGTGCTCTCTGGGTGTATAGCCAACTGGCAGTTTGAAGGATTGGGTTAATCAGACATAGGGAAATTTCTGATTAATTGGACAATTACTTCAAATTCTAAGTGAGCCAAGGCAATGTTAGAGAGACATCCTGACCAGCTGGGAATAAGTTCAATTGCCGGAGGCTTAAGCTTATAAGCGTTAAACTAAATTGGGATTGGGAGCCCAGTTTTTATAGTCTCATATTCCTAAATGTTTAGGGACTGTAACTATTTTTTAAGGCCAAACCCACTCAAAATGACTTTGATTTTGAACAAGTATGGCAAAGCTGTTTGCCACTCTCATGAAATAAATTTAGGATCCAAGAATACGGGAAAATGAAAATGTAGGATCGGCAGGGGATGACCGCCTGCTCTTTCCTGAGAATCTAGATGCACAGCCTCACCTGGTGGGGGCATGCTTCTGTTCTTCCTCTTCATCTGTGTCACTGCTGATGGTGATGACACTGACTGTGGGGCTCGGGGTGTCGGGGATGACAATCGTCTGCCGCTGTCGCTCCCTGGTGGTGCTGGAGGCCACGTCACCCCACCCACAGGTGACTGAGGTGCTGCAAGCTGGGCTGCTGTGTACCATAGCACACCGTGGGGGAGTGTTCTCCTTGACACGCTTGGACCGCTGAGGGGAGCTGATAGCCTGTGAAGAGGTCACCTCACAGGTGGAGACATTTCTGTAATGACAAAACAACACTTATTTACAAGGAAGGTCTGGCCCTCTACCTCCATCGAAGGGGCCCCACATCTCCACAGGAAAAAAACCTGAAGCCCATGCCAGTTGACCTCCCTCTGTGACAGAAAATATAGTGCCTCTAAAGGCCTCCATTCAGGATCTGAGGTTAGAGACTCAGCTGGGCCTTCTCTGGGCTCTGGTTTGGTTGGGTCCATATACCTGTTTTTGAGAGCTGGTCGTCTAGGGATAGCTGTCCTGATAAGGATTTTAGCTGTCAGATCCAACAGAGCCGCATAAAACAATCTTCAGGATTAAAGCCCAGCCTTTGGCTTTATCTAGTCCTCCCTCAATGGTATTTGAATCTTGTTTTAGGAGTGCTGAGAATGTCCTTCCTGATGGTTGGTTTATTATTTAATTACTGGCTCCCACTTCTTCTGAGTTCGGATTGAATTAGATGGTCTAGCATAGAGCCTACATCTTGGGGCAGATATTGATTTAACTGTGAATTTGTAAAATTTGGATTATTTGCTTTTAGGATAAATTCATATACAGATTTTGTCCAATCATGTGAGAAATTTCTCCCGAGGCTTGGAACTAGGATAGGAAAAATTAGTCACAGACTCCATGTAGAGAGAGCAGGGATAATCACCTGCTATGGACAGATATTAATTAATAGACGTCTGTGGTTCCAGGTAGAGAACTGGACAGATAGATGGTATAGCAGGATGGCTGCTCTAGGCAGAGCTTAACAAGTAAAAACTACCTGCTTCCTATAGACAGATATTAGTGAAAGTTTGAATTAACTGCTTTAACGATAGTATAAAGACATATTGTTCTAATAAGTCTTATAGGATAGCCAAATTCTAATGTGGGCTCCACGGGAATTTTGGGTTATTATTCTACATGACAAAAAATAGAAAAAGGCTAAGAATAGGCACATACAATATTTTAGTTTACTTAATTTGTTTTAGATTGTTTTAATTTTCAAAATGGGTGTGTTTTTGAGTTTTGAGGTTATATTATTCCTCTGGGGGAGAGGTCAAAATAAAGGTTTTTCTGGTTACCCTCTCAAGGATATGCTGATTTGGGAGAAAGGTTTTGTCTTTACATTTTTAGAAAAGGTGATTAATGTCTATCAGAGTTATATGGATCAGATATGACAAAAGGAGACCCCCAGGGGACTAGAGTCCAGAGAATCAAGAAAAAAAAAATTATCTTGATGATACTAGAATTATGTTTTGAGATTTTGTATAATTTTGTATATTACAGAATATACAGCCTTGGTGAGCCTCACCGTCAGACATGCAGAACTGACCTGCTTGAACTCCTGATGTCTTGGACTTTCAGTCAGATCCAGACAGGACACAGACATCAGAGACTATAACGATCATTGGTGTGTCCTTCTTAAGGCCAACCAACTCCCCCATTTTCTCCACCCTTCCTCCCACTTCAAAGATATCTCAATATCCATATTCAGCTGAAGAAGCTATGAAGAGTTGTCATCCCAGTTCCCTGGGCTTGGAGGGCTGGAGATGGTTATTCTAAGGTTGCCTTTCTAGGGAATTTAGAAATGGTCATAATTGGAGAAAGAAGTAAAATAGAAGAAGAAAAAGATGATCCAGATTCCGTGTGCCTTTAAATAGCCACAGGTAGCTATAAATATCATAAAAGGATAGAGTGATTGAGATGTCTTGTCTAAATGTAGGTGGACAGCTTATATCATTATCAACTGGCTCTAAAATTATTGTGTGGATATCTTGTAAATTGAGAACTATTGATATATAAAACTGACTTAATTATAAGCTTTAAAAGTTTTAATTTATTGAGTTAAGGGTATTTGTAACAAATAGCTGCAGGGGGTGGATGGCGGGGAAGGTACAAGCAGCTCTGAGGCTGGTGAACCGGAGCTGGACAGACTGCAGCCTGGGGCTAGCTAAGGAGGTGGTGAGACTGAGATACTCCCCCCCCCCCCCCCCCCGTAGCTGGGTATAGCGTGGGATAGTGTCATTTTTTAAAAAAATATTTCCCACAACACCGCCACAACTGCTACCTTAAGACACTTGTGAGAGTTTCTAGACATAATGGACATAACCTCAGGTGTATGTGTGTGTGTGTGTGCTCGTGCATGCGTGCACATGCTAGAGGTCAGCCTCAGGTGTATGTTCCTTAAGAGCTGTTCTTGTTTTTTGAGATAAGACTGTTCCCTGACTAGAGTACACTGATTTAGCTGGTTGCCTGGGTTCCCCAGGATCTGCTTGCCTCTGACCCCAGCACTCGAATTACAGGTGTGTATTGCCATGCTTAGCTTTTTATGCAAGTAAACTTCAGTTTCTATGCTTGTGTAGAGGAAAACATTTACAGATGGAGTGATCTTCACAGCCCCTTGGCCAGCTTTCCCTTCTTTCTCTTATAGAAAAGCAATAGCTATTCAGATTTGGGAATGTGCAATGGAAAACAAAGCAAAGAAAAACAATTTTTTTTTATCTTGACATGAGCTTATCAATTAATTTGCACTGCAATAAAAAATTGGGACAAATGCAAGAGGAAGAAGGTATTTAAAAGGGACTTTTAAGATATGGATAAGCCAAATCTGACTATTGTAGCATAGACAATTTAACTTTTTAAAAATTATTTATTAGTTTTAGATTTAGTCATTATTTCAGTGTATGAGTGTTTTGCCTGCATGTATGTGCACCCTGGTGCCCTAGGATGTTAGGAAGAAGGTGTCAGGTCCCCTGGGACTAGAGTTACAGATGATTGTGAGCTACCATGGGGGTTTGGGAATCAAACCTGGGTCCTCTAGAATAGTCAGTGCTCTTAATCAGTGAGCCATCTCTCTAGCTAACCAAAAGGACTTTTTAATTTGGATTGATTGACCTGAAATTCTACATTAAGTTCTGGTAACTTTAGGGAACAATTACCTTCTTTTCCTCCCATCAAACCCTGTGCTGGTCCTGGTTAGTGCCCATGCAGTAAAGACTAAAGTCAAGAGAGAATAAATCTTGTCCTTAGAGAATCTAGCACCTCTTAAGTAAAGAGGCAGAAGTAACATAAACATAACTTAGTAAAAGTGAGCTTGATTTTGTATGTAGCTACCCTGGTATACTTCTCTGGAGCTGAGAGCAAGATTTTTCAGTAAGATCATTCCCTGTTGAATCTGTTATGGTGTGTATGGTGTTTAGAGTTCCAGCACTTACAATATGTGCACTTGGCAATGTTAAGAAAAAGCGTATCTCCTGCATTACTCCACAGGGAAAGTCTTGTGTGTTTCTCACAATTTTGCTAATGACTGGTCTTTAAAAGAAGCAAATGTATCATATGTGGCGGTGCATGCCTTTAATCCAGCACTCAGCAGGCAGAGGCAGGTGGTTCTATGTGAATCTGAAGTCAGGACTCTTCTAAATACTGAGTTCCAGGCCATCCAGGGTTACAAAGTGAGACTCTGTCTCAAAAACAGTAAAAGCAGGAAGAAGGAAGAAGATGGTTTGCACTGTGACTCTATGGATTTGCCCTGCACATAGTGTGTCCACATGAAGCAGCTGGGTGGTGAAAATACAGGGAGTGCACTGCTGGAGTGGTAGCAGGCCTACGGGTCCGGACTACACCTACTCAGCAGGGTGGCTACAAGATTGCTAAGCTCAGTTCTGCCTGATGAGCACCCGAGGCCCCGGGATGAGCCTGATGGAGCACGGAAACCATGGCAGTGGCTTCTGCTGCCTCTCCATGACACTGGCATGCTGTCACAGGGCTGCCACAGGGCTGCCACACAAAAGCATTATGGGAAGCTGCCAATGATATAAGCAGAATTTCCTTGTTTTATCAGAAATACGGTAACAAGGAAGTATGAAGAAGGATGTCAACTTGAGGGGAGTTAGCCCTTAAATTAATTTTTGAATAAGAATGAAAGAAGGAAGATCTAACTTCTAGCACTTGGAAGAAGAAGAAAAAAATCACTAGTGTGATGGATAAACTTGACATATCTGAGAAGAGGAACCTAAAAACAAACCTGTCCATCAGACGAGCCTGTGGGCGTGTCTGCGGGAATTGTCTTGATGGACTGCTAACTGACTTAAGAGGCTGTGGATGGTGCAGCGCAGTGCCTGCCCCTGCACTGTGTAAGAACGGTAGGTAGTTAAGCATGGGCTTGGGAGCAAGCCAACAAGCAGCGTTCATCCCTGACCTCGGCTTCAGCCTCTGCCTTGGATTTCCTGGATAACAGACTATAGCCTGTAAGATGAAATAAACTCTTTCCACCCCAGGTTGTTTTGGCCAGAGTCTTTTTATCACAGAAACAGAAAAGCACATTAGAACAACTAGGAATTTTATGTACTGGATTTCTCTCGTTCAATTTCTCCCAAATAAGTATGTGCATCTAAATCACATGTTGTGGGAGCAATTCTGTACCTGCATGATCTAAATCTATTTGATCAGCTATAGCTTGTGGGTTTTGCTCTTGTTGTTTAGAGTGAAGTCTAGAAACCTCTATTTTAAAAAGTCAGGTTTATTGAACCATATAGTTGATACTATATACTCTAAAATTCTCCCTTCTGAAGCGTTTGATGAGTTACTAACTAATATATAGTTACAAACTCCACAAAGTGTTTGATGAGTTACTAATATATAGTTACAAACTCCACCCATACCACAGGTACAGACCTCTTTTACCACACCCCCTGATGCATGTTCTCAGGAATTCCCTTCTTCATGGCCAGCCCCTGGTATTGCTAATTTATCTCTCATCTCTGTGTTTGCCTTTGTCAAAGGGACACATAACATGAAGCCTTGTGTCAATCTTGATGGCTTCAGAGTTCAGGACCATGGGAAAGATTAGCAGCCTACTTTTAGTATTTGGGAATTGCCAAAGGTATATTTAAGCAATTAGCCAAATGCGTTCCTGTGAGAGCAATTCTGTAGTTTCATGATCTAGATCTATCTCAGTAGCTACAGAGCTTATTTTTAAGTTAATGAGTTATGTTTCTGACCTGAAATTTCAAAATAAGTACATTTTCTAGTGATTTTTTAAAAGATATCTTGATAATTTGTAGTCAAATGGAAACTTCAGAGGCCTGCTGTTTCTAGAAAAGATGACAGAGACCGTGGCCAAATTAAGGCAGGACTTTGAACCTTCTCATAGGCTCAGTTGTGCAGTTCTTTATAAAACCTAGTTCTAGGTAAGAACCTCGCTGACTCACTTTAGCTAGAGGACACTCTTCCATCTCTTGATATCTAGACTACTAGACCTAACGTCTGATCAGACTCCTCCTCCTCCTCCACTGTCCCTCAGGTGATGGCTAGTCACCCTCAAAGCATCCTGTTAGGACTGCTCAGCTACAGTCTTCCAGTTTCTGTTGTCTCCTGTTTGTTATTTTCCCTGCATGACCTAGACACCACGCCCTGGGCACAAATTCTCAATGCCCATGCTATGTGCAGAGCAGAGCCCACATAGAGCCCTGTGGTCTCAAATAAAATCTTCCTTACTGTGCTTTCCTACTTCTTCTTTGACAAAAACGACTGAAGCACTCAACACATTGGGCGCACCAAGACTCGAGGCCTCCACCTTAGAGTGCCAGGGGGACAGGAACTAGGGAGAGTCAAGAGGCAGGGTTGTATCTGCACAGAGCTAAGAGAGAGTGCTTTTAGCAAATCCAGAGTGTTCCCAGCTCTTGAGAGAGAGCTGCTCTGTGCACCACGCCAGGGTAGTGCACCGGCAAGCCTTACTTCTAAGTGGTGTTTAGCATTTCAGTCTTCTGGCATTTCTTGCTGGTTCTCATCACCTACCTCACAGATGACTGGTGCTGCTTACTCTTCCTGGAGGAGGTGGTGCTGGTTGGTTGTTGCCTCATTACATGGGCTACACCCACATTTAAGGGCTGGGCAGCTGGAAGGGTCACATGACCAGTCAAGAGTGCAGGCTGCTGCATGATGGGATTGTAATGGCTTCCATGAGCATGTGTGTTCCTGAAAGAGAAAAGGGAACATAAGGCTCCTTAGTGGTTTTATAGAACTGAACTCTTTAATAAGATGAAGCTCCCTCTGCAGAACTGTAGAATGGAAGGCCTGTGTTGAAGTAGGAGGACTGTTGATTAGTTAGAACCAAGACTTTCAAGGGGAAAGAATGTCAAGTGTGTAGAGTCAGTTTTTAAGCTCTAGAGATATGGGATAAGTAGCCTCCGACCTGTAAAATCCCTGAACAGGTGATCAGGCTGAACAATAATACATATCTTTTGTTTTAGAATTTGCACATTTTGTTTTAGAATTTACAGAGCAACTTAAATGGGTTCTTTTATTCTACTTTGTGAGGTAGGCAGGATGTCTTAGATACACCATTTTATTAATGAGGAAATTGTAGTTAATGTGAAAAACAAACTTTGGGGACTGGGAGCCATATGTTTCTGGCATTAGGAATCATTAATGTTCTTTTGAATTCCCTCAGTAGCTAACACAATGCTCAGGCATGTAGCAGCTGATCAGTTAATTACACGCTTGCTGAATGAACAATTAGATTAACTGAAGAGTGACGAGACTTGTATAGAGTTTGTATTAAATCAAAATTAATAACAGTCATACATATGCTCATAGAAATATGGTGGCAGCCTGCATCCTGGAAATGGGTTACGTTTTCAAGTCTCTAGGTTGGGTGGCTCTTTAAAAAGCCTTGTTTTCCAACAGAAATGTTTAAAGTGGTGATTAATTCAAAGATTTGTCTGTATAAGCCCATTTAACATGTAATAAAATTAAAAGCTAAAGAAGTATTTATTTGAACTTTAAAAAAAAACCCATCAAATTCCGTCTTTGTAACTTGAAAGGATAAATAGGAGAAAACCCAAACATTCCATAGTGATTTTGATGGTCTTTGAGACGGTGTAGGGCCTTTGGAAAGGAACATGGTGCTGACTTTCTGCTGTTTATTTCCCCACAGATGGGCCCTTTTCCTTGGAAACAGGGGTGGGTGGCGCTGGCGCTCCTCTTTTGTTTTCTAGTCACGGTTACAGATGCTCTTTGACCCAGAATGAGATGGAAGAGGGGGGAAGAAGGCAGAGCAGAGAAGATGCACGAACAGGGCACAGATACTGCTGAGATGAAGTGAGCTCTAACTGCCAAAGACAAAGGAAGAGATGCTGTGGCGGGGTCTCTCAGGGGCATGGGGGAGGGGTGGGGACCCCACAGTCAGCCGCATAGGGGATTGGGGAGCACCCGACGGTGGATCACACAGCTTTCTACTTGGCTGCTACTCCTAATGAGCTCGAGGAAGACAGGCGATCCTGGAGTGTGAGTTGCCATGATTTTGTGAAGGGAGGATGCCAAGCTTATTCTGTTATGTCCAGGCACGGCTACACGGCATGTAACAGACAGGCCAAGTGCTTTCTGTTCCATTTTAATTGCTAGCCCTCTATCCCCTACCCCACAATCCTGAGAGGTAAACATCATGGCCCCAATTTATTGAAAAACAAACTGAGGCCATAAAAGTTAAATAACCTGCCCCAGGTCTTGTACAGCCAGACTGGAAACCAGTTTTGCCTGGTTTGAAACTGCTTCCCCTGACGGCAGAGCGCAGCCCTGGGGACAATCATGTTATTACAATCCAGTTACTAGTCAGAAAGTAGCTTTACATGGAGAAGGAGAAAGCTGCACTAGACACCCGATTCAGCGAACTATTTAGCCACGTGCCTATTTTTTCCTGAGAGTGAGTTATCTGGTTATTTAGATAGAGTTTCACTATATAACTCAGACTGGCCTCAAACTTGTGATCCCTCTACCTCAGCCAACGTGTCGAGATTTCAGATATATACTGCCACACTGAACCCAAGAGGTCTATATTCTGAAAAAGAACTAGGGCAGTCCTCAGGGCGGTAAGCAGGCTATCAGAGGGTAGCAGGGAGTACTTTCTGCAGAAGGAGGTACATCTCACAGGGGCCACAGCACTGGGGACAACTGGAGGGCTGTCATACGGCTCTGTACTGGTCAAGGAGGGCACTGTGACAGTGTTGGGATGAGGGCCAGAGGAAAAATGACAAGTGCTATGAAAACAGCAGAGCAGGTGTCTGTGAGGAAGCTGGTGAGGTGCGTGGGCAGTTTGGAGACAGATGCAGGGTGCTAGCAGGTGGTGGCTGGAGTCCCTGGGGTCTGTGAAGGGTGAACTTCATCCATGAGACAGGCTGTTAACTGAAAAGGCACACTTAATAAATACACCAGAGCTCAGCCTTCCAAATACATCTGATCTGTTAAGCTTTCCCTGGGGAGCTCAGACAGACAGGCACCTATGTCTCAAAACTTCATGAGAACAGTTTCTAGAATTGCTTAGGGCTTTAGGGACTCTTCTATATTCCTTCACTGGTGACAAATGTTTGCTTTCTGAAAGGAACTTAATTCTGAAAAAAACCTAGCCGGGTTTTCTGAATTACACTGGTGTTTAAAAGATGTAACTGAGTTTTGGGTAGAAAATGACAGCTACTTGTTAATTAATCAAACTGAATTTTGGGTGTCTTGGTATATGTTTAAACCACCTCCCATTACACGGTGGTCATAGCCCACATGGAATTCTCTGTCATCCCAGAAATACTGCTTGGCCCAGAAGGATTTACTGTTTACCTCCAGTCAGCCAGTTGCTGAGTGCCTGCCATGGTCTCAGGAATCACAGCTGCATGCTGTACAGATGTATGGGTGGCCACGCCAGTCAGCTGCTGCCATGCTGGAGGAAGCAGGATCTGCTGGGCCCCACCTGGCCAGGCCTGCTGTAAGACAGAGGATATCCACACCATCACAGTTTGTTAATCACCTAGTTGGTTTGCATGAGTCCGGAACTTAATCCACGTGGGGGCTCTGCTGGATCTTATGATGGGTGTGAAAGTGTGGACTAATGGTTGGTGTCAAAAACCCAAGGGAGGCAACAAATGGGTAGGTATAGGGCCACAGAGCAATTTGGAAGGAATGAGGTCATCTTAAAGATGGTTTCTTTATCAATTTGTTCTATTATGCTTGAAGTTCTCTTAAAACCCATTGACTTGTCCTATAAACTATGTGCAAATTTCTGAACTAACTGAACTGGGTCAGATGAGGATGGCTGGCCGCCCGCCCTTGGGAAGCCTTCTATCAAGTGTCCTAGATTTGATACTTGACTTGCATATTGTTGTTGTTTTTTGAGACAGGGTTTCTCTGTGTAGCCCTGGCTGTCCTGGAACTCATTCTGTAGACCAGGCTGGCCTCAAACTCAGAGATGCAGTACTTCTATCAGTTACCTTGTAGAGTTTTATCTTTGGATTTGATTCTCACTTTTTACAACTCAGAGACTATCTAGTGCTGGCCTACATGTGAAAGAAAGTGGTAAAAGTAATGAACTTAGCTGTGACTTTCAGCTTAAATGACAAATAACTTCAGTTCCTTAAGACAGAGACAAGAGACTAGGAGGAACTCGTTGCTTCCACCTCACAATATGAACAGCCTTTATGCTTTCTTCCTCTAATAGACTAATTGGTAGGCATGCATATGTGCAGAGTGCTTTAAATCCTCTGTGTCCCCATCTCTTCCCTGCTTGTTTTGGTCATTAAATGATTTTCACTGAACACAGCTGACTAACGGTGGCCATATAAAGGTCCACCATGAAATGCTTCTTGGATGAGTCAAGGGTCAAGGGGTTTGAGTTCCTAGTTATACTTTTCTCTGTCCATGAAGCCAGACATAACTAACATATACCTAACATTTTTTTAACTCAGGGCTCCAATGATTGGGCATGTGTTTAATATGTGTGTTTTGACTGCTGTATAAATAAATAATTCTATAAAGGACTACATTTAAAGTCAAGACTTACCAAGCATAATGCTTATAAAAATGCATATTTCAGATCTGCCCCATTTCCAAGTTCATCATTCTCAGGGTATCAGTGTGGCCTGTGAAATCTCATACACATTTTGATATTGCTTGTTTATACTTACTGATCTGTTGCGATATAGGCAGAAATCATAGCATAAATATTTAATGTCAGCTGACAAAATGAAAGTATTAAGTCTATAAGTTTATTAATAATAGCAAATTGTATTTCAAGTTTATGGAGTTCACTGAAGAGGAATATAATCTAACTAGTAAAACCACTGTAAATTCAAAACATTAAATGAGCCAGGTATGATAAATGGTGCACACTTTTAGTCCCGGCACTCAGGAGGAGAAACAGGTGGTTTTCTGTGAGTTCAAGGCCGGCTTGGTCTACATAGCAAGCTCTAGTTAGCCAGGGTTCATGGTGAGAGCCTGTCTACAGCAATTTCAGGTAAGACTGTTACTGTTTAGTGATCTGGGATTCATTTCCAGTTCTATAAAAAGCATGTGTCTTGGCTACTGTCATTTAAAAAAAAATTATGTTTAAACTTGGATAAGGTCATCTTTTGTTTTTTCCCTTATTTTCCTGGATGTTAGCAGTTTACCTCAAAGCCATAAGAAAAAAAACTTTAAAAAAAAAAAAACCAAACCTCTTTTACTTACTGTGAAACTGATGCTTACAAATACAATCAGCTCATTCAGATGATATTACATCAAGCGTCTATAATTTATTACTACCACTAGGAATGGAACTAATATTTCTTTTACAAATATTACTATTGTATATGTCTGTTTGATGTGTGAATGCATGAAAACATGCAGAGGCTCTGGAGACAACGTTTGAGAGTCAGTTCTTGGTTCTCTGCTCCTACTTTGCAGTTCACGCACTGAATTCAGGTCATCAGTCTTTGGTGACAAGCACTTCTAACTGCTGAGCTGTACTGTTGCCCCTCCTCCCTTTTGAGATAGAGTTTTGCTATGTATGCCAGACTGCATTTGAACTGAAGATCCTCCTAGCCTACCCAGCGCTGGGACCATGGGTATGCACCACTATGCTGGCTGGAGCATGCTGTGTATCAAGCAGTGTTAGGTCATGAATGGATTTTTGGACTTGGTCCCAGTAGATAAGGACTACTATTTCTTGCTATTTCTTAGGTGAATAACTGAGACAGAGAGATTAAATGACTTGTCTAGAGAGTATGGCAAATTATTGTTTTCTTTGAACCTTACTAACATGGCAGTAAAGAAATAAAATATATCAATTCATAAAAGCAAGGAGAATGGAGAACAGACAATAACAGTTAAAATTTTTTTTTAGAGGTGTAGCAACATATGGACAATTACCAAGAAAGTTAGCAGACTGAATTACTCCAAGGTAAATCTGCATATGAAAGCAGGCAGATCCCTGGTAAGCAGGTGTCTACTGTTCCCAGATCCAGAGGTTAACTGATTCTTTAGGGGAACTAAGACGTTCAAGAGAAAGGAGCGTGACATCTGAGGAAGACGCTGGCCTTGCCTCTAGTCACGCTGTCACAGGAGCCCACGGTCGATCGGTGGCTCATCTCCTTGCCAGCGTTCTCAGGTACTGAGCACGTCAGTGCTTCAGTCTTAATTGTGCACGAGCAGTTAAAGGCAGCCTTTATAACACTGAGAGCATCTTCCATTCAGTGTGGAAGAGATCAAAGAAAAATTAAATGAAACTCACGTGAAACAAAAGCAACATAGGAATCAGACAAAAGTTTCCAAAGCTCTATCGTGGTCTATAATTAGGATCCACAGTGTTAAAAAACTATGCGTCTCACTTCATATAGAGATGTACATATAGAGCAAGATAAGGAGCTCCCAGAGATGGAGAAGTCAAAAAGACAGTTAAAAAAAACTTCTCAGGAAGTAGTGTAAACAGAATACACACACACACACACACACACACACACACACACACACACACACGGAAAAGATAAGAAACATTAAAAGATTAATTTAGAAGTATTAACATCCAGGCTGGGGAGATGGCTCAGTGGGTAAGGTATTTACCATAAAAGTGCGAGGGCCAGAGTTTGTATACCTAACATCCAGGTAAATGCCAGGCAAGCACCAGTCTATTTGCATTTCCAGCATTTGGGAGATGAAGATAGGATTTTTGCAGCAAATATCTAATAAGACTATAATAACCAGAGAGGTCTAGATTCACAAGAGACAGATCTTGCCTCAGTATACAATAGAATCCTGAACCAGCAGGCCAGGGGTGGCAGCATCCACAATGGACTAGGCCCTTCCCCAATCGAACATTAAGAAAATGTCTGCTAGGAGGTGGTGGCGCACGCCTCTAATCCCAGCACTTGGGAGGCAGAGGCAGGTGTATCTCTGTAAGTTCCAGACCAGGCTGGTCTACAGAGCTAGTTCCAGAACAGCTAGGGCTACAGAGAAACCCTGTCTTAAAAAAGGGGGGAGAAGAAAGAAAGAAAGAGAGAGAGAGAGAGAGAGAGAGAGAGAGAGAGAGAGAAAGAAAGAAGAAAAGAAAAAAAGGAAGGAAGGGAAAAAGGAAGGAGGGAAGGAAGGAAAACATCTTATAGGCTTGCCTACAGCCTATAAAGGCAATTTCTCAGTTAAGGCTCCCTTCTCTCAGATGAATCTAGCTTGAGTCGAGTTGACATAAAGCTAGCCAGTCTGTATGTGTACCCATATCCCCTACCACAAACATATGTGTATCAACATACTCATATATCATATACACACAAAGACTGAAGTAACAATATACAGTTAATAAGAATTTTTTGAAAAGAGAAAACAGAGAAAACAGAAGACACTGTTAAAGGACCAACGACAATGACAACAACGGCACTCAGAGAGAGAGGGCAAACAGATTCAGAACAATGTACGGAAAACAAGAAACAGGAAACCGTCACTCTTAAGACCACTTGGGAACAAGGGGAGTGGTATAGCAGGTTTCATAAAGACCAGTTGAGTCACAAAGTATTTGGGAGAAAAGGGAGAATGAAAGAGTGAAGGGAGACGGGGGGGGGGGGGG